CTGCCGAATGGATTGATGCTTTTCGCCGTAGACCTCCTGAGCGGTCTCATCCGCAGATACAGCTACTTGGCTTGTTAATTGCTGCCGTAATTTTCTCGACCGAGAAACGTGCGATCCTCTACTGGGACTGCACGTCCACGTACCTCGAGCCAGGATCGTCGGAATGACGCCGTTGGTCACACCTCGACTTTTTCGACGATCACGTCGGGGTCACCAATGTGGGATTATTGCAGGCCTTTACTACCTGAGCTTACGAATCCACCACTGAATGCTTATTGATAGTGCGAGGTGACAAGGTTGACCACTGTTAATGAGTATATAATATTTTATTATCAAGAGGTAACACACGAGGTAATGGCTGCTAGAGTATCTATATATATACTCTTCCTTCTTGATTCTCAGCGCCACGCTGCGCTGTCGCAACTCTAGGTATGGAAAAACCCTAGGCTTCTTATCTCTATGCGCTAAGGAGATGTGAGATGACTAATCCCCACACCCTGTCTGAGTACAACGCCATCTCCCAGAAAATCGAGCAACTGCTATTACTCACAATTCCTGGTCTGTTTATCAGCCCGAGTCTTCGTTGACAAGCAAATTTCCGTGATTTAGAGATTAATGAATATATTTTTTTCTAAGCTTTCAATCTCAGTTCTGTAAACTCAGTATTGTTTGTGCACGTTATGCGGTGAGTAGTGCAGTATCGTTTGGTCCATACGAGCTATAAAACTTTTGTATTAAGGAAACATCTACACAGGGGGTACAAACTCCCGTTTTGGAAGAAGGTAGACAGGCTCCCTGGAGCCACCTAGATCTGTGGCACCAGAATATGGAACTAAAAGTGTCACGTGACCATTTTTTGTTTGTTTGTTTTACGTGGGAGGAGAAAATCTTCTTATACCCCTTCCCGAGGGGGACCCTTTCGGGACACCCATCGGGGAGGGGAAGACCCCCGACTGCCCGTACCGTCGGGAGTGCCGGATTCAGCCGCCTCGTGATCCCAGGGATACCAAGGTACCCCAGGGACGCACCGGGACGGCCGCCTACCGACTAAAAACTCCCCCCTTTCCGTACTACCGCACGCAGGCATGGGGAGGCACTCCGGAACCGCACTCTAGCACATCATCAGAGTGCCCCCCAACCTTCCGAGTCTTTTGACTCGCTACCGCTATTTCAACGGGTCCTACGCATATACAATAACAATACACCTAAAATTATACACTCAATCTGGTGTGCAATAACAATACACCTAAAATTATACACTCAATCTGGCGTGCAATAACAATATACCTAAAATTATACACTCAATCTGGTGTGCAATAACAATACACCTAAAATTATACACTTAAAGTCTTATAGACTACTTAGAGACTACTTAGAGACTACTACTATATACAAAATATACATGCACAGCTCAGCGCGAGCTTGCATATACTCTCTGCCTTCGCCGGTCCGACTCTATCCGGTGTCAGAGTCCTCTTCGTTTGGAGGAAGGGCCAGCACTCCCACACGCGGGTCAAGTCCCCGCTCCCGGGCGCGCTCGTCCTCCTCCTTTCTCCGCATTACATTCTCGCAAAACTCGGCGAAGACATTCCACGCCTCAGGAGAGCGCATGGCAGCCCCCACCACAGCCCGGAATGTTCTGTCAACTCCCACGACCGCTAGCAGCCCCCCCCCCTCTGCTCCGCCCAAAACGGACAGAACAGAAGGGTATGCGCCGCCGTGTCTCTCGTCGCCCTGCAAAACAAGCAGATCGGGGTATCCCTTCGTCCTATCCTGTATAGATAGGCTTCAAAAACCCCGTGTCCCGTTAAAATTTGCGTTACGCGGTATGTGAGGGCACCATGCGCCCTCCCAGTCCACGCCTCCAATTCCCCTCCAATAGCGCCTCGCACGATCGCGCCCGGTCCGCTCGGAGGTAGCTCGCTGAGTCGCCTCTGCCACCGTGAGATCGAGCGACGCCGCTCAGCCTCGAGTAGCATCTCCCCCCCACCTGCGGGGTAATCACGCCATCCCGGGCAATGATATCCCGCCTGCGAAGGTACGCCCGTCTAATGCGGTCCGCCGCCAAGTCGAACGGGATCATTCCCGACAAGATCGCCGCCGCCTCATGCGATACAGTTCGGTAGCCCCTAATTACTCTTAGGGCAAGCTGCCGCTGTAACTTGCGCACGCTACCTAATGTTTCCCGATTTCTCGCAACTGTTTGTGTCCAGATTGGGGCCCCATACAGTATCACGGACATAACTATTGTGACATACATCCTCCTACGTCGCTCGCCAGGGTCGCCAATATTGGCAGTAATTCTCGCCAAGGTCCCTGCCATTTTCCAGGCTTTGGGCATAAGTAGGCGGAAGTGGTCCCGAAAGGTCCACCGCGAGTCTAGGGTCAGTCCCAGGTACTTCACGGTGGATCCAATCGGAACCACCTCCCCCCCGACCCTAATAGCCGCGCCCTCCGGTATCCCTTCTGCAGTGAAGGCAACCGCCTCGGTCTTTGGGTCTTTGCCGATACTTTCAGTCCCAGCCGCTCTATCAATCTTATTACGTAGGTAGCCCCCAATTCGGCTCTGATACGCGCCTCATCGAATGTCGCAGCATTCGCGATCAGCAGTGTGTCGTCCGCGTAGCACAATACTGAGCATCCTATCGTCATATTCGCTCTCAGGACCGAGTCGTAACCTATATTCCACAGGGTCGGTCCCAGGACCGAACCCTGTAGGACCCCGCGCGTCATTCTTTCCCGCACCAACCTGTCCCTTCGGTCCACATAGGACAAGCCTCTGTCCGAGAGGTAGTCGTGAAGGACATTCCGGATATACCCCGGAACATCCTTCTCCTCCAGAGCTCTTCTGATGACAGGCCACGGGAGGGAGTTGAACGCGTTCGCGATGTCCAAGGACACCGCGACAACGACACCCCCATCCCGTATGCCCTGCTCCACCCGCTCCCTGAGGCACCATATCGCATCTACCGTGGAACGGTGCCGTCGGAAGCCATATTGCCCGTTCGCTATGCCCTCTGTGTCGTCCAGGAAGGTTTGGAGTCTCCGCACGATCACTCTTTCGAGTAGCTTCCCCGCCTCGCTCAGCAGGCACAGGGGCCTGTACGAGGACGGGGAGAGATCCGGCTTACCCGGTTTTTTAACTAATACGAGCTTCGCAAGCTTCCACTGTCGCGGGAAGTGCCCCCTCCTAAGACACTCCGTGAAGCACCTTGCCCATACCGGAGCAAGGTTTTCCATTGTCTTTTTAATCACGTGACCCGTGATCCCGTCCGAACCTGGAGCCTTCCCCAGTTTAACTCTGGTTCCGGCCTCTAATACTTCAACTGGAGTGACCGCCATATCATCGCGCCAGTCGACCAAGGTCCTAGCAACCTGCGGGGTGTTATCTGCAGGGAATAAGGTCATCACGATCTCCCCCACAATCTCAGGAGGGAGCACCTCTACCACCGATGTACCGCCCGCATGTAGCTTCTTCAGTACTAGCCGGTAAGGCATTCCCCAAGGGTCCCTATCAAGGTCGTTAACTAGTTCCCCCCATAGCTTAGCTTTCGATCGGCTAATCGCTCCCCTTAACCTACGCCTGGCCTCCCGTAGCTCATCCCAGTACATTTGAACATTAGCAGGGAGTACCCGGCTCCTCGCACGCGCTCGCGTGAGCCTTCTCCTGCACGCATTGCAGTTACGGCGTAGGTCTGCAATTTCTTCATTCCACCAGTAAGTTGATGGCTTTCTTGCAGTTCCCCTCCTTGGCATCGACGCATCCGAGATGTCACGGAGTGCCCGGTCTATTCTCTCTCCAGAAGTGGCATTACCGTGGGTGTCGCTCCACGCCGTAAAGACCGCCGCAGCCTCCATCATATCCATGTCAGCTCTCCCGACCGCCCATCTGGAGAAGGCTCTGAGTGCCATTTTTCCTGTGGTAGGCCCGATCAGAGAGGCCCCGACTTTCATGACCACATATTTGTGGTCCGAGAGGGACTCCAAATCGGCCTCCACTCTCCAGGAGGAGAGTCTCCTCGCTGCAGTAGGAGACGCCATCGTTAGGTCCACATGAGACGCCTCGCGGGTGCACACACGTCGGTTCCATACCCTCGTTCAGAACCTGAAGGTCCATTATCTCTATCCACTCTGATAGGATGGCTCCTCTTCTGTTGGGCCGACCCGGGTCCCATGCGTGGGCTCGGGCATTAAAATCTCCCGCAATTACCACCGGGTAGCCCCTTATTCCCAACAATTTATTCTCCAGCTCATACAAATCTCTGGAGAACTCTTCTTCGCTAAGGCTAGGGGAAAAGTAACATGAGACGAAGATTATATCCCCTCAGTCTACCGCCACAAATCTCGTGCCCCTCCATCGTAGAGAGCACGGCACCCTTTCTCGGCTCCACTGCCACGTTATGGCTGCCGAGGGAGGATCGTCGCCAGAGGCCACCCAACGGCCATTGTCCGGGATACCGGTGGGCTCCGCAATAGCCACGATTCCCAGCCTCAGCTCCTCGCTTACCCTCGCGATCATATCTTGCGATGGTCGCGACCTATTCACATTTATCTGGGCTAAACTAGCCATTAGTCACTTCCATGCTGACCGGTTCATCTGTTAGCGTCGGGGCTCCCCGATCAGCCCCGGCGGATGTTCCTTCCATATTTACTCGCGTGTCTCCTCCATTGGGTACTTGCCCCCGTCCGTTAAACGGCACGCACTCCGACGCGCCCGCTCTATGCCCGGAAGGCAACCCTCTCCCCGCGCACACCGGGCACTTCAGGAATTTTCTGTAACCAGCAGCTTTGTGTCCGTCGTTGCTGCCGCATTGAAAGCACCAGGTGGAGCACCTGACTCAGGCAGTTAGCCCTGGTGTGCCCCACGGCAAAGCAGCGGAAGCACTGTAGCCTCCGCTTTGCCAGGGGCACCACTCCCGCCATAGTCCACCCCACTCTCAGGCGCCCGTCACCTAATAATTTGTTGGCACACGTCAGAGGGCACTGCACCCATACAGCGTTAAGGCCCCCCTTCCCAGGCCTAAGGGGGCCGACCCTAATGTCCACCAACTGTACCTGTCCGCTCCTTGCCACTGCTTCAGCCACCTCCTCAGCGGTAATAGACTGGTCTATATCGACCAGTCTTAATTCCGCCCTTCACATCGGCCTGACCACTTTCACCTCCTCTTTGTACTCGCTCTCAGCGAGGACCCCCTTCAGCTTTCCTACCAGGGCCTCCGCTTTGGTCCCGGCTTCCTCCCCTCCTGGGATCTCGATAAGGAGACCTCCGGCTTGCGCCCTCCTTATGCGTGTGTTCGTTATGCTGAGGTCATCTAACGAGATCTTGCTCCTGGCAAGTCTCATGACCTCAGCATACGTCGCACCGCCCGACGTGTCCTTGTTCTCGTCACACTTTATCAGGACCGTTGCCGTTTTTGGCGCCCGAAATCTATTATCCTTAGCCGGGGGAGGCCGCCGCACCGCGTCTCCCGAATCCCTCACGCGAGGGCGAATCACAGTACTAGCGGAAGCGGGGCCTCTCGGTGCCCCGCCGCGCGCACTCGCTCCCGCCGCGCTTTTAGCCGTGCCCGGCGCACTCCGGCAGTAGTGCCCCCTACGGAAGGCGGGGGCACAACAACCCGTCTTGAGTCTTGCCCATTCCGCACCTCGACACCCGCGTTAGGGGCCGCTCTTTCCTTCTCCTTCGTCCTCATTCTTTTACGCGCCCTTTTCGTCCTCGCCTCAGTCCAGGCCTTACTACTGCCTGGGTAATCCATCGAAGGCAGCGAACTCCCCAGGTCCCGGTCGTCTCCGAGCCCCGCTCTGACGTCGTCGCCCCTCTGTCCATTCCTTGTCCTTTCCGCGTACGCATCCCCGCGTTTATCCAGGGTAGATCGCCCTGTATCTTTCATCACTATATCCCCCGTCTCATTCACCCTAGTTGGTCGGGGGGGGTCTATCCTCCAACCTCTTGCGAACCCCGCCAATCGGCGGTCTGTATGCCAGGGGGAGACTCTCCGCTCCATCTGTATCAATGTCTCTGCTCCGCACGGGACGTTCTTCCCTAGTTCGTCCCCTGGTTCTTATCGGTGAGCCTGCGTCACGGGCCTCCTCGTCCGAGGAGGGGGCATAGCTCCTGCCGCGGCCTCGTTCCCTGTTCCTATCCTTTAAGTCTTGGACAGTACCCTGTAGCGCGTTAATTTGTTCCCTCATCGTTTCTCTCTCTCGCCGGAGGGTATCCACCTCCCGACGAAGCTTGATGACCTCTCTTTCCAGGGCCAAATTATTGGCTCTAACTTCATCGGTTGGTCCCGTACCTTTAGAGATCTCTGAGACCAATCTTTGGACCGCTATTTTGGCCACATTAACGCCTACTTTGATCTGGCGGCGCAAGTCTCCCTTCATGCTTTACGTCCGCCTTTCCGCTTCGCCCGCAGTCTCCAGCACCTTCAATGTCTCCGCCATCACAGACTTCGGAGACATCTGCGGGAACAGGACAGTCACCTCCTCTATTGCATCCTTTTGGCGGGATGAGAGCCTGTCGTCCAGCAGGCACTCAACCAGGCCTTTCCGTTTCTTGAGTCCGTGACCGGCCCTCTTAGTGATCTTAAAAAAGTCTACCCTGTCCAGTTCATCGTCCTCATAGTCCATTCGCTTTGAGGAGAGCTTGGACAGGGCGTGTGCTCCCGGACAATTGGAGCCTTTCGGCTTCCGTCCTCTCTTTTTCCCCTTCTTGGGGATTTGATCGAACGATGACGAGAGATCCTCTTCCAATCCTTCGATGGAAATGGAGGGTGTCAGGTCTCTCCCAGTTGTATCCTCTTGCTCCGTCTCCACGGCTATCACGCTGGACGCGTTAGATAATGCATCGCCAGCATCAGCTCCACCGCCAGAGTCGCTGAGGGCTGGTGTGCCGGCCGAGACACTCTCCGCAATCGGAGAGTTCACGATCTCGCCCTCTACCACCCTGATCCTCGTCTCCCTTGGGTATCTAGTTGTTCCAGATCTGCCTCTTCTCGGGAGCGGCGCCTCCCCTCTTGTCGAGGTCGGTATCCTCCCCGCTAGTCCCACAGCTGAGGTGTTCGCAGTGATCGCCACCACGTTCGTCCTCTCCAGCTGTAGGCGCAGCACCTTCCTCTTTGCCTTGGGCGTCGTCGTTCCTATCCTTCCTTCAGCCTCTGCAGAGGTGGATGGTGCACTGCCCCCCTCTCGTAATTCTCCTCCCTCTTCCACTTCCATCCGGACGGTAGCCAGTTCCGCTGCGGGGCCCGTCGGCAACCCCGCAGCTGGCCCTTCGCATGAGCCTCCCGGGCCCGAAGCCTCGGGAGTCGATCGCCCGGGGGC